CTCACACTCGCACTCACACCTGTGTTGGCTGAAGACCCTGATTACTGTTCGGGAGGACCCAGCTAACTATCTCAGTTGGTTGGCACCAACCGTACCGCAGGCGGCCATGGGGATTGAACCCACGACCTCCTGCATGGCACTTGTACGCCGAACCAATTGAGGTTCGCTGGATTCTTCATCCACCTTCTGGACCGCGCTACCTGCGCAGTTCAGCTGCCCAAGTTCTGGACCGGGTGATAGGCGTGGGCCGTCATCGTGGTAAAATGCATTCAGGTAACAGCGCGGGTGGAGTCGCCGAGGCTGCCACAGAGGAGAAACCCACTTTTAACGTTCCACCGAGGAAGCCGAGCCCGCGCGCGCCATTGCAGCTTGTTCCCGCCCACCGGTTTTCCTTTTTCGAAATTTGCCTCGGACAAGTGCCAAGAGCTTGCTGTCGTTTCGCGCGCGTTTGGAGTAGTTCATGTCGGTAGTCGCAGCGCAGGCATGTAGCAACGGGGGCAACGTGCGCAAGACGACGACCAAGGGCCAGGGCAGGAAACGGCAGGCTGCTGCTTCCCGCTGCTGATGCTGCTGATGCCCGCAAAGGGAGAGGAAGCAGTGGAGTGGAGCGGACAGATGGACGGACGAAAGGGCGGGAGGAAGGAAAATGAACCTGCTGAAGGGGTCGTTACAGCCACTCAGAGTGAGCAATTGCCACACTACTGAGGAACCGAAAGACAATGCGAGCGCATCTTCCCGCAGAAGTTGGGCAAAAAGCATCCGCTGCTATGAATAGTAACGGACGAATCCAGCCACCTTCTGCGGGGAGATGCACTCGCATCGTTTTTCGTTTCGTGTATGGTTTGGCGAGGCTCGAAGGCCAATCATCGAGATTGACGAGGACAGGTGGCTGAAAGTCACTGGGGTAGTGAAGGAGCACGTATCCGGCCCAGACGGAAGCCTCTTGCCTACGGTGGACGCTGAGCATTTGCCATCCTTGCAGCAGGCGGGAGACCCTCCCTCTCTCTCCCTCTTTCGACATGAACCGACTTTCTCCCGTGCCTGGCGGAGATCGGCCCTGTCTCCCTCTCTTTCGGCCTCTCGTCTGCTCGCTCGTTCGCTGACCGCTCGCGCACAGGCTTGCAGCCTCCCCCTTCACCGACGGGAGGCGTCGCCCACTGGCAGCACTCTGGAGTGATACAAAGCGGAGGATGTCCTCTTCTTTTGGGCGATTTGTCCCATCGCTGGACCTGGCATTGCCATAAAGTGGTGCGGAGACCGAACCTCGAAAGCAGAGTTGTCAAGGAGGCGAGTGGAGGAGAGTTTCCCGGCCCAGAAGAAACAGGGTCGTCGGTAGAGAGAGGGTGAGAGAGCTGCACACTCGAGAAGGAAAGAGACCCATCTGTGCAGGTCCAGTCCATATCTGTGCTCAGTGTGTTCCTCGAGTCATTTTCCGTTGCTCGCTCGTGCTCTCTCTCGACTCTGGCCGGTACTGTAGATCGTCCATAGATCTAGACCTCCCGAGGCAGAAGAGGACGGAGGCTGGTAAGCCTGACCAGCAGTTACCCATTTGCTTGATCACCGTTGCCGTTGCGATTGCCATCCTTAGACGTCGCCGTCAAAGACGCTGCCGATCGTCGTCAGTTCTGTCTTCCTCTATCTGCTTGCGTTTGTCTGTCTGCAATCGTTTCCAAGGAAGGGGAAGAGAGTCGAGGTAGGGGTTGGGAAACGGAGGCGTGGAAGTTGCCGAGGACGGGGTAGGGTGGTGGTCATCTTCAGTGCTGAGAGAAGCGGAGAGGAACAACGAGGTTAGCGGATTGCGCTTCAACCGTCGAGCAGAGGGAACCGAGACAAGCGCCAACGTCGTGGAGTCTTTTGATATATTTCGGTAAGATATTGGATAGGAGTGGCGCATTTCATCACCTGAGTCCCGCTTGAGATCGTGGTTTGCTGATCTCTGCGCGGATTGGGTTTACTTCTTTTGTGTACACGGCTGAGGAAGCATCCGTGTATATACCACAATGGCTGCGACATGCGCAGCTGCGCTCTCCATTCTAGGTGTCATCATCGCTGTGCTTACAGCTCCTAATTGTCTAGTGGAAGGGAATGTGTTGGATGCCATTGGGCAAGTAGCCAGTCAATTGTCGATTCCAACCCCGTCAATTCCGTGCCTGGACGAGTACCAGAAAGTTGAGGCCGCCTGCCCCGCTGACATACAAACCCCCGAGCAGTGTCCTAAGGAATGCCGGCAAGAGCTGAAGAAGTTCGACGCCTGCGCCACCAAGGCCTCTCAAGAATCAGGAATGGTGAACAGCAGTTTCACGGACAGCGTCAACCAAATTACCAGCACGTGCGGTGCCGATGTAGCGGCGTTGGCGAGTTCTCCTCTGCCGGACGCCGTCCCGTCGGATGTGGTCGCGGGCGCTGCGGCCCTCGCCAGCAATCCCAACAATGCTATGGCTGAGGCGTCCAAGGTTGTGGCGCAAAACTCGAGGGCAATCGCCGATGGAGCCAGCACGCTGGTGAACGATCCCCAGAGAGCCATATCACAGGCGTCCGAGGCTGCCAACGCTCTAGCGAGTAACCCAGCTAAGGTCATCGCCCAGGCGTCGGCAGCTGCAGACGCGCAGCACGTTGTGGCAGTCGCATCCGAAGCCTCGCGTCGTGGTGTTAATCTCGCGGCCCCGTCTGCACCTGTGAAAAAAAGCAAGGCCAGCAGTTCATCTCCTCCAGCGAAACCGTCTGAGAAAGGTGAGGAGCCTGCCATGCCCAGCGAACCAGAATTGACTGAAGAAGAGGAGATGCTCTGGTTTAGAACGTCCGACGACCAGGCCTTTGCCAGCATGTATACATCGAATGCTGTCAGGGTGGTCCATCGTACAACTTGCTGGCTCGCGGTCCTTGTCTCTGTCCTCGTCGCCCTACTGTTCCGCGCGTGAGCGTAAATTAGGGTCTCTCTCGGACGCGTACATTACTGTTCCTGTCACCTGTGCCATTCTTCGCGCTTTTTTCACTTCGCAGTTTGGACTCCGGTAAATAAACTCTGGCGAGACACTGCACTCCGTGCCTCGTGGGAAATCGGAGTTGTACGCCGAACTAAACTCTTGTCGCCGTTTGAGAGTTCTTCGTTCGTTCTCGTGACCACGGCCACTGCATGCCTGCCTGCTTGCCGCCTAATGCAATTGCAGAGAGCATCTTTTTTTTTACGTGACAGGGTGTGAGTTTGTGTGCTCGGCCCCAGCACCTACAAACTGAATGTATAGGCGTGATGCAGGTGGGTGGCTGGCTGGCTACCGATAGTTCGCTCGTCTGTTCGTGTCTTCATTTCCCTGTCATCTCTGCTGTTTCCCCCCAATTCGGTTCTCTCTCCCCCTCTCCTTGGCGTCCTTTCTTTTTTGTCTGCTTTTGTTTTCTCTACCGAGTTGGACTTGTGTCTTCTTCCTCCTTTTTCTTCCGCCTTATTTTCGTTTCCAGCTCTCCTTTCGTCGTTGACTTTCTCACCGGTCTGCGTTGGCACCCTCCCTGGTCTTTTGGTGGTCCCGCTGAGTCACGACGCTCGCATTGTCGTTCCGCTGCCTCCTGTGAGCGCCCTTTCCCCTCGCTTTCCTTCGTTCGCTTTGGGCGCATCGTGGTCTTCTCTCTCCCATCTTGACCTCACTAATGGTTTCCGCACTTTGATACCGTCTTCATATTTTCCTCTTCGTCTTCATATTTTCCTCTTCCGTCATTTCACCTGGTGTTCTTCTGTTTCGGTCCCTGTTGTGGCTGTGTTTATTGCCTTCGGTCGTTCGTTCTTCGTTTTCTTCCACACACATTGGTGGTGCCACTGTATCTATTCGTTCTCAATTTATATGGGGCTAACATTACCTGCCCCTCTTCTTAGACGTCTCTGCGTAGAGTTTGTCCATATGTCCCTTTTCAATTTTCATTCTTACCCTTGGTTCAGTAGGCTGGCTGATATTTTACTACGGTTGGTATCGAAGGTACAGGTCGGTTGGGGTTGTTCTCGGTTAAGTCGGGTAATTACATTGATAACTGTAGTGCTAGTCTCATCGTAATTGGTTTTTGCATTCGTTATTTCATATGTCAAAAAAATATACAGGTCTACCAATTAAAGGGATTGGCACGGAATGAGCGGTTGACGAATGAATGGAGGAGCGGAATGGATAGAGGGCGAAATGGACCAGCAACTGGAACCTCACATTCAAAAGATCTTTATAGTACTTGTCTGGGCCCTGGGGGAACGATTGCGTCTTCAGGGGGTAGGGCGTCGGGTGGCCGTCATCTGCCTTCTTGTAGGCCTGCCCAAGAGGGAAGATTATGAATGCTCAGATCCGCTGACAATTTATCTTGTGACTTCGTTTCTTGTAAGCCAATCTCGAAGGTGAAGGAAAAACCCCGAACTGAATGTTTTTTTCCTTGTGTCGCCTCGGGCGGTTGTCACTGCAGATGTCTTTTGAATGTGTATACTGTCCTGAAACCTCTTACCATTATTGGCGTCTTCCCGGCTATTTAGGATTTCTCCTGGCTTTTCAGGATTTCTGGATCTCTTCTGCTATTTCAGGTGAAGCCTCGTGCTGGTCTTGCACTCTTGTGCCTTCGTCGAACATAGCGGAACTGAGCGAGAGGCTATGCCTGCCCGATGCACGGAGACATTTTTTGTACAGGCCTTCGCTTTGGCTAATGCAAACACACACACACGGGCGAAGCACTCTGGAACGGTTGTCCTATGTTCGTAGTCTTGTTTATACTAAACGCGCACACACACACACACACACCCACACACACACACACACACAGAGAGAGAGAGAGAGAGAGAGAGAGAGAGAGAGAGAGAGAGAGAGAGAGAGAGAGAAAAGGCATGGCTGATACCAAATGTCGAATGGGTTAACCTGATACTCCGAAGTGCGGAATGGTGCGGCCGTGGTTGAGCGGATTCCTCTTGTCCTCTCTCTCTTTCTGTGTGTCTATCTATCGATCTTTCTTTGGCCAGAACAAGGTTAGAGACGACACAAGTGCAGGAGAAAATGTCCTCTCCGCTCAAATGACCTTTCTATACTTGCCATTCTTGGCTTTTGTTGACCGAAAGTGTCGAGAAAAGAGTCGTTTCCGTTTGGGTAAGGGGCTCATATCCAGTGTAATGGAACATAACATTCTTAAGTAAGTGTACATCGGAGGTAAGTGAAGGCGCGGTTATTTGCCCTCCGAAAGGCTCATCCGGAAGGCTCTGATCATGAAACCGAACCTGCATGCATTTCATAAAACGTCTTGAAAGTTGAAACTATGTCCATTCCATAAAACGTCAGTAATATGAGGTGATAATGGTCGATTGATTTTCATTTCAATTTACTCTGATTTTGACTCAAGGTGACAGGATTCGAACCTATGACTTCTTTACCGAAAACAGATGCCTTACCAGACTGCGCTACACCTTGTTATGTTCAAACAGTTCAATTGCTGAGATTGGATTAACTGGAGATGGACCAGATGGTGAACTCATTGTTGTAGGTTCAAATCCTACATTCTAGAAAGTAAGCCATGATAAAAAAAAAACGGAGTTTGAGCCAATCCCTAACTCATTCCCCTCACGTTTCTCCCCTTTTGTTCTCGACCCGTCTTCGACGTCTCGCCTTCTGTGCCGCTTCCGTCTCCCGCTCTCCCTCGGCTTTGTGTGTCCGCTCTCAGCTCCGATCGCGTTGCACGTTTTTTCTCTTTATGGTTTTCTGGTAAAGTTAACTTAACGAGAATACTGACAGTGGGAGATTTGTATCTGATACATTGTCGGAAGTTCGGTATTGGCGGTGATAAGAGCATCCCCCAGTAGCATCACTCGAATCGTGTTCCGTTTCATCAGCAACCTTTCGTCCTTGTTCTTCATTTCGTTTGTTACTTAGTTCTTAGCGGACATGTCCAGCCTTCAAACAATGCTGCGGATAGGTCGATGTCTGGAAGTGGACATGTCCTCCCGGGTGCGCGCGCGAGAGAGAGAGAGAGAGCGAATGTCGGCGCCACTCGCGCGGGCAAGCTAGCTAGCCACACACACACACACAGAGAGAGAGAGAGAGAGAGAGAGAGAGAGAGAGAGAGAGAGAGAGAGAGAGAGAGAGAGAGCACGTAAGGGCATGTGGGGTGGCTTCTCTCAGTTCTCTTCAAATCACCAACGGTAGATAGGAACCGAACTGTCTCACGACGTTCTAATTGTTATGTTGGCCACTAGCCCGCTCGAGCCTGTTGTTGCTCAGTATACATACACTAGTAGCACTCTATGTATCTCTACATAGCACCGACTCTACCTTCAACTTGTTTCAAGGCGACTATACTAACCGCCTGAAGTTGTTTCACATATAGTCTCTGAGGATCCTACCCAGAATGGGAATATAGGGGAGTGCAGAGTTCTGATGTAGGCCAGAAGGCAAAGTAGGAAGTCTGGATGGGAAAGATGGAAGTGAGGGAGAGATGGGAGAAGTAGGGGAGAGAGTGATGGGATGGGCTAGATAAGAGAGGTGGGTAGAGAAACAGATTAATGTCCGACGAGAACGACATCATGTTCTATCTATGGGGCGCTGGTTATCATAGATGGCCACAGTCTGGACAGTCTTTGACCTCTGTGATCTTCCCTCTCATTACAACGGCTGAGACGTCAGCTTAAGGGGTGCGATAAGATTGACCTGAGTTCGAATCTCTATATAATTATAAGAACGAAATTAATAGAAAAAAGCACTGAGTGGCTTGTCTTGGGTCGACCCTCAAACCTGGCCATACTCAGAGAAAAGGGGACTATATATCTCTGTGGATTCGGAAAGGGTGCTGAAAGTATTTAAAACTGAAGTTGATAACAGGTATCTAAAGACATACAAATGATACAATCATACAAGTCATGGAGCTCCCCACCAATAGATGGAGCCTCCCTGACGGTGCTAGATGTGTCTGCTCTTATCAGCACACCTAACATCCGATTGGGTTGTTCTCATAAAAACGAAAAAAAAAGTCATGGAGCCGTGGTCAAAGGCTTTGAAGCCTCGTGAAGAGTAAAAATGAGGATAGACGGACACAGAAGCCAGCAACCTTTTGAGCCACACGTGCTGGGAACCGGGCCCAGCGTCCCATTAGGAACATTTGGAGAACATATGCAGAAAACAAAACTCAAGATACCGGGGCTACTACCCCGCTTTGGCTAAGAATAGGGTCATGAGCAATTTCTAGCCTATTAGACAAAAAACTTCATGAGATAGGCTAAAATTCAGAAGAAGTCTGAAGAAGCTTGGAAAAATATGGGAGCCGAGGGTCAAAACTGAACCCACCTATCCAAAACTTCCCCCTTCAACAGATGGAATGTCAGTGCAGGCTTTCAGTCTTCGTACCAGAATTCACTTGATCTCATACCCCCTTCTGCTAGGGTAAAAGGGCACCACAACCTTCCCCAGTACTGACCAACCTAGTTCTGACGGACAGGAAGTGCCTTCCTCCCTCCATACTTCCCGTAGCGGCAAGCCCCTGACCAGGTTACAGGGTTATTACCCCGGCGCGGGCTACGTCGGACGGTCTGGTTATGCCTTCCACCCTCGGCATAACTCCACATGCCTCAGGCTCCCCCTCGGTCACAGAGCAAAAACTCCAGCTCCGGCTTGTGTCGTCCCAGCATCGTCCTTGTACCCTACTTACCTTAACAAACAACCCTTCCCCTCTTGAGAGCCCCCTTACTTCCTCCCATCCTCCAGTTCTAGCTCCCCCCCCATTTTTTTTTCTAGAACTATTGGACAAATTCAAGAGAATCAAAGGAGACATTGAAAAAACTATGAATAACTACTGGTCTCTTCTTGAATGCTCAGAACCCCTAGACTCCCAACCAGAACTATCTAAGACTGTCCAACACTATCTTATTCCCTGTCGAGTTCTCCCAGGCCTCACACCCCCACCCGGCTAGGTTACAGGGCAACACGACTTGCCCCAGCTCCTGCCAGTGTCGTCTCAATAGTAACCCTTGGTTGTCCCTTGGAATGCCCACCCCAAAGCATCCCCAGATCTCTCTACCAGGCCTCACGCTCCTGCAATCAGCAGGTTACAGGGCAACACACCAGCACTGGCCAGCGTCGTTCTGGCATCGAACAAGATCCATGAATGAACGAGTATCGAAACAGCCTAAAGCGAGTTGCTAGAAGTCCCCAGAATCCTAAAGCATTCTCAAAACCAGCCGGAAGATTATCCTCTTTTTTCGGAAAATTTCAGGAAACGACTCAGAAACCCTCTATCAATCCCCTTTACCTCACTCCGGCAAGACTTACTGCAGCAGAGCCACCATCCCCACTGCTGCTGTACCGTATTTCCATCCTACGAGCTAGCCCCCTCACTAGTAGGAGGCTTGATGTCCCACCATTTACTTTCCCCACTGACCTCTTTTTTTTTTTGGTGCTGGAAACCGGTTGCCCAACTTTGGCTAAGAAGTAACTGAGATGGGAATTTAGAAAATCATGAGCAACTACTACCTTGCATCTTGAATCCACAGAAGTTTTTAGCCTAGAACCAAAATGCTTTAGTGCTACTCGGCCGCCTACCCTAAGCCTACCTCAACCCCCATGTCCTTTATACTCAGTCTCTACCAGGCCTCACACCCCCAACTGCTAGGTAACAGAGTGGTACGACCCACTCCAGAATTATCCCCCACCTGCTGGGCTACAGGGTGAAGCGACTCACCCCAGCTCCGACCAACGTGTGAGTACCAGCTTGCCAACAGACTCTGGAGTGCCTTCCCCTCGCGACAACTCCCCAGATCTCTCTACCAGGCCTCTTGCCCTTGTACAACCACGCCCCAGCACCGACCAGTGTCGTTCTGGCCTCGTCCGTTCACAAACCTATGAATCAGTGCCGGACCCGTGAATGTGACCGGCACTGGTAGAGAGATCTGGGGAGTGGTGTTTTCTTTTTTGTGTTTTTTTTTGGTGTTTTTTTTGTGAACGGCCGTTCACGGTGAACGGGCCGACCATGAAAGAGTGGTGTTTTCTTTTTTGTTTTTTTGTTTTTTTTTGGGCCACACTCAGCTACGGTCGCCTCAAGCCCCACAGCCTGATGACATTGAAAGAAATAAAAAAGGGGTAACTTCGGCGCAGTCACGAAAACAGTTTATAATTGCATTCGAAACTGCGTTTTAGCAGTTTAGTCAGGGCTCGAGTTTCAATTGCAGTTGAAACTCGGGCTGCATTTCCGTAGCAGTTCAGTCAGGGCCCTCGTCTATCCACGAACAGCAGATTAAAAAAAAAAAAAAAAAAAACATCCCTTATGCTGTGATTGCGGTCCGATACAGGATGCTACAGTACTTGTCTGGAACTCAATGAAGCGTCTGCCCTGCCTGGCTGGCAGGCCGCTACAGGGACCTCACAACAAAAAACAAACAAGGAAAACGACCTGTTTCATGTTCCTCACTTAATGGCCAGATACATTCGTCAAAGCACTGGTGACCTGACGGCCT